CAATAGTTCCAAACCTAGTTTAAAAGTCACTACTTGCTTGTCCGTATGAGGACGGTCAAGGTCGCTCAGCGAGCTAAGGAGAGGGCTATGCTCGGAGTTTCTCTGCGTGATAGACTCAGAAATGAGGATATCCGCAGTAAAACCAGAGTGACCGACATAGCCCAACTTATTAGTAAGCTGAAGTGGCAATGAGTCGGCCATATAGCTCGAAGAACCGATAACCGATGGGGAAGAAAGGTTCTCGAGCGGCAGCCTCGTACCGGTAGGCGTAGTGTAGGGTGACCCCCACTAGAAGGAGTGACGACCTGGTAAGACATGCAGGAAGTCGATGGATGCAGGTGGCTCAGGACCGTGCTTTGTGGCATTACTTGGGGGAGGTCTATGTTCAGCAGTGGACTTGTGAAGAAGTGTAATAATGATGATGATGATGACTTGCCAAATAATTTATAAATAAATTTTCGTCAAATAATTTTCCGTTTTTATACTTTGTACTTAACCTTTTGTTTGCTTTTCATGCACCCTCTTCATATTGTTTATTTCTCTTCTCTACATGAAGGTTGTCCGAACAAAATTCTCTTTCGGATTGATAAATCGTCTGCGGTATTAATTTTTAATTTAATATAATCCGTGTTTTGACAAACTTTCACCTACTCCACCTGATTGTAAGTAGATGCTGTGGTCCATAGACATCTAAATGTCTTCGATTAAGAATCAAAATGCAGATGCTTTGTCACCCCTTAGGACTACGATGGAATGCCTCGTTTCCAGTAAAAATTGGTCTTAAGGGTCTCTACACTCATTACACGAAACACAGCAGCATTAAATTGCTATTTTACTCTGGTATACTGTGAGAGCGTGGTTCTTCTCCTAGTTGAGCCGACCCATTCGTGCTACAACCATAATATAGCCGCAACGTGGCTCTACCACGTAAAAGTAAGAAGCTCGCTTATTAACTATGCTCTTAGTCTATACATATTACTTAGTTTGCATATTTAACCTATACGATCGTAAGACCAAAGTCTGCTCAAAAACCTTGCAATGCTATCAAAATAAAAAGACTAAACTTACAATACTGAAGTCCATCCAGATTTTAAAATATCTGATAACATTGTAAAAGAGTTCGCTTTCCCTTTTGAGGGTACCTAACATTGTTATGAAAAGAGATTTCTCTACATGCGTACCATCTAGGAAACGAAGCTGTTTTGAGCTTACATAAATTTACGCTTCAGTGCCATTTGTAACTAATGGTACGAGAAGTAACAGTACAGGAGCAAAAAATTCGATATCAGTTTTAGAAACGAGGTTAAGCATTCTACCGACCACACCCGTCCTACGTAGCGATAGCTAGATTAAAAAAAACTACCGTGTACGTACTGCAAAGCAGTATTAGTTATTGAATACTGGTTATTACAGCTTTATTAGGGCTGTGCACATATCTTGAATATCATGATTAAAGATACGTGTAAGGTCAACAGTTAGCGGATTTATGGTCTTTAACGATAATATATATCTTGAATATACAATATTTGAACTAAATATTACTTATTATATATATATTTATATATATAACTGGGTAAAAAACGAGCACACATTCCACCTGATGGTAAGTGGATGCTGTGGTCCATAGACATCTACATTTCTCCTCGATTAAGAATCAAAAAGCAGATGCGTTGTCACCCCCGAGAATTAAGACGGCATGCCTCGTTTCCAGTAAAAAAGGGCATTCGGATCTCTACACACACCACACGAAATACAGCAGTATTGGGCTGCTATTTTACGCTGGTATTCTGTGAGAGCGTCTTACCCCGGTCGAGCCGACCCATTAGTTTTTTTTTATTTAACTGACTTTACGGCTCTAGGTTCTAGCCCATCTGAGTCTGTAATTTCTTTCAGAATCTTCACTTTATATATTTTTTCTTCACAATATGCTGATACGTCGCATTGCGAAGTTTTTGGGAGATTTTGACGACAGCTCAAACCAGCGGACAGTTGATGACGACAGCCACTCAAGTTCATAAGGCGCCCAAGCGATCAAATTAACTTGAGCTTTATATCGACATATTGGCACTTGTTTCGTCGTTTTCTCTAATGGATCACACGCGCAGACATTTAATTCACAAAATCACATCAGTTTTACGAATTAAAATTCATTTCAAACCATTATTCAAGCAACAAAACAGGAAAGACAGTCCGTCGACGGCCAAGTTCCCGCCAAAACCCCGTCCGTGCTACAACCATAATATAGCTGCAGCGTGGCTCTAACACGTAGTTATTTGAGTCGTCCATGTCCCATGGCCTCTGCGTATTGGACACAGGTGGGTCCATTGCGCAGGTAGAGTAGAGTTGCGCAGGTAGAGTAGAGTAGGCCGCGGAGGAAGATGCACCTTGTGTTCTGGTGCGCCTTACCTGAGAACGAGAAATTCTCTCCCGAGGAAAGGCTGCCATGGGTAGCAGGTGCTGGTGAAACCACGGATGTGTGCGAACGCGGTCCCGCGGTCGTGTTAATATGCGGCGAAAGTGGATCACCATTGGGTTTTAGACGGTGCGCATCCGACATAACCCATCTCATGTAAAAAAGGGGCCAGGCCCTGTTTAAAACACATTATACTGTGAGTTAACAAATCCGAATAATTTAATAACTCGCTGTATAATGTGTTTCGAATAGACAGTATCGAGAACCGAAAACCCTTTTTTTTGGTAACGTGTCATTCCATTTTGGTTTGCAGAGGTATGAGGACTACGATATTGTGTCTTGTATAAAACACAAGATGAAGGTGTGAAAAACAAGTACAAATTTAGACTGAGAGAAAATATTGGTGGTTTGGATGAATGGTGTATGAATGAGTTACACTTGGAGAATGTGTGGCACAATGTTAAGAAAGGTTTGGTAGTAGAGCTACCAAATGTGTGGTGTTAGCAAGAAAACGAATAAAAAGAAAAATAATACGTTGATGAGAGAAGACTGTGGTTTGCAAGATGATGTTGTGACCAGGATTAAGAAAGGAATGATTCGGTGGTTTGGTCATGTAGAAATAATAAATGAGGTAAGAGTGACGAAGCAAATTTATGTTGCCGAAGTCAACGACAGAGTCGGAAAGAGACGTCCTAGTCGAAATTTTATCGACCAAATTGGTGAAATATTGAAAACGGATCATACTAAGAGTACCCGTAACCGACGAACATGTATGCGTGGGTATATGTAGATGGTGGAGGCGAGAGAGGCGTGTCAGGAGCGTGCTTAATGGAAATCTGTAGTCTCTGCCTACCCCTCTGGGTGACAGGCGTGAGTGTTTATGTATTATTTATTATATATTATGTATAAGACATCTACAAAGCGGTCTGTTTATAAACTAATACATGCTGACTTATTTTATATTCCCGACGTTTTGAACGCTTTACAGAACCCATGGTTACGGGAGGTGACAAGGAAGTCGAAATCCCAATGTCATAGTTAACCACGGGTACCACCAGATCAAAATTATTAATTTTTTTCAATTTACGCAGTATAAATACATGTAATACTATGGTCATATAAAATCTGACTGTATAAAATCCGTAAAAACCAGTTTTATTTAAATGTGTAGCGTTCGCGTAAATATAAGAAATCATTATGTAAAATAATTGATAGAATCAGGCGTTACTTTGCGGAAATCCATTATAATAAAGATATTGATTAATTTGCAACCTTCCGCTAACTAAATACAATGATATGTCTTACCTGGACTGAAGAGCACCTCTCGCCCTCCCTCAATTGAGTGCACTAATTCCGTCACTAGTAGTCCCACACTGCTCCCGGCACCTCCCTCCACTACTTCCAACACCACTATTCCAGGAAATATACACCATCGACGATAATACGACACGTGTTTCGCCTCAACACGTGGCATCCTCAGGTGATGTAGACTCTACCCCAATCCAGGTAAAACACATCATTGTATTTAGTTAGCGGAAGGTTGCAAATTAATCGATATCTTTATTATTATGTAAAACATGCTGATAAGATTTAATGATTACAAAAATTGCTTAATCCTTTTGTTAATTTTAGTTCCTTTTTTTGCAATCGGTACGGTATTTAAAAACACAAGTTAATGATGAAGTAATTAAACATCATCAGTTTTTCATCAGTTACGAACAATTAGACACAAGTGCAGTTTCGTTATTTTCGTAATGCCGACGTTTTTGCATTAATGCTTTCGATCGTTACCCTAAATAGGGTTGGAATTGAGTAGTTTATAGGGTTAACTCTCGGACTCCGCGGTCATACAAATAAGCCACCTGTAATAAATTAAGTTCTTTACAGTGAAATGGAAATGGGACAAAATACAAACAGGACGGTTTTTTCAATATTTCTATATTATTTTAATACTCTAATGTAGTTATAGGTATTTATCTATAAATACCTATAACCCTTTCCTATAAAGTCTCCGTGTCACAGCGGCTTAGTGCTGTGTTACGCTACGCCGAGGGTCGCAACTTTAAGTCCCACACAGAACAAGCATTTGTATGGCCTATAAATATTTATTCCAGCTGGATGTTTGTCCTTGTACAATTTATATATGTAACCTGCCTCCACCATGCATAAAAAGTTGATAACGTTTTTTAACAAAAAAGACGCCTTACGCGTAATACATTTATGAAAATCACTCGAAACGCATAAAGTTGAAAGTAAAACACTGCTTAAATACAAAATTTCATCTAAAGCAACTTCCATAAAACTCAGAAGAAGTTCTCACTTCGATTTTGATTCGAATTGGCTTCGATTCACTTGATTTTTTGTAGAATTAATGTAACAAACTTACGTATGATATAAAAAAATATTGCTTGGAGCATTAGGCTTAAAGGCCCCTTGGATGTAGGTTTTGATGTAGATGCCTAAGTTAGTAGATTCTATATTTTACATTTTTTTTAATTCAAGGTGATTGTTCACCTTTAATAATATAACCTTGTCGTAATGTCATAACGACAAAATATTATCGTAACGTCACAAAAACCAAACCCACCTGCGTCTCAGTCAAGCTCAACGCCTGCGCGAGCTGTTTCCTTTCGGCGCCGACCACGTAGTGGTTCTTCTCGAACGCATGCTCTAACTTGAGGAGTTGGGATGGTGAGAATGCAGTTCTGATCCTCTTGGGTTTGCGGAATGGCTGCAGGAGGAAGCCGGGAATGTCCGGACCTGCGGGCAATAATAAAATAAGAAAAATATGAATAAATGGAAGGTACTATAGGTATTTGTTTGAAAATGTTTTCATACTACATGAAACTAGTGTTTTTTTAAAAGAAGGCAAACACATGTCTCCCTACCCAAAAAAGCTCCAATCTGTTCACGAAATTTGGCGGCTGCAACTAGTGTAGTACTCCCAGTTATTTTTTTTATAGAATAAGGGTGACAAATGGCCACACAGTCCACCTGATGGATGCTGTGGCTCATAGACATCTACATTTATCCTCGATTAAGAATCAAAACGCAGATGCATTGTCACCCCTGAGGACTAAGATGGAATGCCTCGTTTCCAGTAAAAAAGGGCCTCCGTATCTCTACTCGAGGACGTTCGCCATGTAGTGGTAATATAAATCCCTTTAGATATACCCATGAGCGACACCTATCACTCAACCTTATCCCGTGGGTGTTATAGGCACCAAAGCATCAAAATAATATCAATCAGAACCAGTCGTACCATTCCACTGTCAGGCGTGATTCTTTCCCGTAGTAATGAGTATTTTCTATAATTTGCATGTAAGCTGGTTTAGTGAATCATAACCAGACGCCCATTGATATACTAAAAACCCTTTTTTGTATATCAATGCAGACGCTTCTTAATTTTGACTTTCCTTTCCGTCGCAGGTCTGGCTATTTTATATCGTGATTACGAAGTATAAACACATTATATTAAAATAAAAATATGTTTGGCCCAGGATGGATGCCCTTTCGCCACCACAAATGCAAATTATAAATCATAATTCATCCAATCAACTTGTTTACAATGAAGGAAATTGCAAATTAATAATAAAAAGCTTACTGAAATATTAAATCAGCAATAATTTATACAATTACTTACAATTACCAAACAGACAGAATAATTAAAGTTTCAATTACAATGTAATGTAAACATTAGTAAAAAAAACCTGCAATGGGCAAATCAATTCCACTGTTAATACGAGTATAATGTAGGTATAGGAAACAAATATTTGGGCGAGGTATCCTTGCAGCGGCGTATAATTAAACTACTTACTTTTTGTTAATGTGAATACATTGTTTAAGGAAAATTATCCTTACTAATCTTATTAACGACGGTAACCTAAATTGTAGTAAATATCAGTACCAAAAACTGTAATCGACAGATCAATTCCACCGTTAAATAGCAGCACTTTTGATTATTTTGAACCTCTATAATTAGATTAAAATTTAATTATTGCGCAAGAACAAACTTTAATATATAGTTCCGTAGTTGCCCGTCACACTACGTGGGATTTCTTGATATTGAGCATATGAAGTGAATTCGCGGTATGACCGCTATAAAGACTAAAATGTGTCTAAACAGGACGATGGTAACTGAAGGACTTATTTTCTAATGAGACTAATAGATAGCGGTATTCAAAAAAGATTTAAACAAATGTTTCCTTAGGATTCTATTCGATTTGTACAGTGTACGTCGAATCATTCACATGCCAAGTCCGAGCAAAGATGATCATAGTTGGACTATCTATCTATATATTCCCGGCAGTGACTAAGACATATATGACCGTAACGAAGCTTCCCGTAAACCATCACTGCCCTAAATTATCCTGAGAGCCGCCCGCGTAAACTAAGAGTACCACAAATTAAACTGTATGAGTCTATATGGTTGTATGAATATTTTTAATGAGGCCTACAATAACTACCAATTAAAATACGAAAGTAGTACGTAAGAAACATCTAGCCTGCCTATCCCACACAGGAAAAAATGTAATGCATATAAGTCGTTTTCTTCACAAAATGTTTATTTTTTACGGTTTACAATAACATTACAAGGTTATAATGTAACTAGGTTTAGGTCATTTTCTATGGAGTTGTAACGAAATTTTTACTAAACCAAGTGCATTTTATAAGTAGGTCGACTATTACTCTTTAACTTGTACTTAGATGTACTTAATAGTTTTTCTTTTATCTTCATTATAATATATACTTACTACTATCGTGTATACTTTTCACATTTCCAAGCACAGCGGTTTAGGTGGTAGAAGAGGGGACACAAAACTCTAATGACAAAAAAACCACTTTAAAGCTATATATTTCGCAAACGGCCCCCTTAATCTATCGATTACATTAAGAAGTCCTTCCATACAGTACAATATCAGTCTCACTCATTTTGCTCATGTTGAGAACACATTTCATGAATTCGTTTTTATTTTTATATTAGGAAAAAAATTTGGATAGTTCAAGCGCCCGGCCAGAAGGCGTAGCTATATGTTGTTGTTGCACCAATATGTAGACTCACCGGGGTAGGACCAAGCTCTCACAGAATACCAGCGTAAAATAACAGCTTAATGCTGCTGTGTTTTATATGATGAGTGTAGAGAACCGGAGACTTTTTCTACTGGAAACTAGGCATTCTATTTTAGTCCTCAGTTACAACGCATCTGCATTTTGATTTTCAATCAAAGATAAATAAAGATGTCTATGGACCACAGCATTCACATGCCAACAGGTTGACTGTGTGCTCGTTTTCACCCTTATTCAATAAAAAAATACCTTTATGGATCCTGATGAAAGTGAAGCTTTCCATCTTAGCGACGCATTTGCATTTTGATTCTTAATTAAAGATGTAGGTGTCTATGAGCCACAAGCAAGTCAGCCTGATGGTAAGTGGAGTTACCATTAATAATATATCGAAAAGTAATTTCTGTTGAGGTCAAGGTGTTATTTGCATGGTGTTAATATATAAATAACCATTAAAAATATCTGTAATGTCTGTTTGTTTGGACTAATTTTCGGAATGGCTAAAAAGATTGTGATGAAACTACATAAACGATAGAGAACAATTTCAGGTGGCATTCAGATAACGTGCAGGGTACTTATTGAAATCGAAAATCCGCTAAAGTAAATCTTAATTTATGATTATCCCATAAACTCTTAAATATAATACATAAAAGTTTCGAACATAACTTATTTGGGTTTGCAATTTACACAGAAAGGTTCTTACACTTTATCTTATATCTAAAATTTTATTATTAATTACCCGGTTGACCGAGCTTTGCTCGAAATTTTTTTTTAATCGTGTGTTTTGGAAATTTTATTAAAATACAAATTACTGAAATTATGAAATATGAAGAATATTTTTTGATCTTACCGACATAATAGAAAAAAGTGAACTCGTTATTTGTATAAAAACTCAAAAAAATCCTTCGATATAACAACAAATAAAAAAAAAAATTTTATGAAAATCTTTGGAGCCGTTTCCGAGATTCCGTTTATATATATATATATATGATACAAATACTGTTCCGTGACACCAAATTGCTGGCAGGCGTTTAAAGTTATAGGATATGGCGTTCCAATTTTTATTTGAAATATTTTTTCGTATCGCACATCGTTTTCAAGATAATAACAAAAAAAAACTGAGGCCATTGGTTTTCGATAGCCGAACTGCTTGGCCAAATACGACTTTAACAGACAAGGAATAAGGACGGTGCAAGGACAAGGACGGGTACAATGTTCTTTTAAATAAAATCTCCTGTAACTGACGAACGGAGAAGAACGACTAAAAAAATAGTGTGTGTCAGCTTTTACGCGTTACTGGAGTTTCCTCCTGAACAACGTCTATATCGATTTGAAAAATTATATAATCGTAATGTAACGAAGCTCTTCAATTCCGTCCTCCATGGTGGCACTACTCCGGAGGCGTGGAGCAGAAGCGCGGTGGTTTTGTTCTTTAAGAAAGGCGACAACGCTCTCTTGAAGAACTACAGACCGATTTCCCTTCTGAGCCGCGTCTACATGCTATTTTCGAGAGTCATTACGAATCGTCTCGCACGCAGACTCGACGACTTCCAGCCTCCCGAACAAGCCGGTTTCCGAAAAGGCTTCAGTACCATAGACCACATACATACCCTGCGGCAGATTGTACAGAAGACCGAAGTGCTACAGTCCCTTCAGCGGTGCCAAGTTGACTGTCGGTACATCGAAGTGCTGAAGTGTTTGTACAGTAGGGCTACGATGGCTATCCGAGTACAGAACCAGAGATCGAAACCTATCCAACTGCAGAGAGGTGTAAGACAGGGTGATGTTATATCCCCGAAACTCTTCACCGCTGCGTTGGAAGACGTTTTCAAGCTACTGGACTGGAAAGGATACGGTATTAACATCAATGGCGAGTACATCACTCACCTTCGATTTGCCGACGATATAGTCATTATGGCAGAATCGCTGGAGGACTTAAGCATTATGCTCAATGACCTCAATAGTGCCTCCCAACGGATAGGTCTTAAGATGAACATGGACAAAACAAAGATCATGTTTAATGTCCATGTCACACCTATGCCGGTAGTTGTTGGGAGCACTATGCTCGAAGTTGTTGACGAGTACGTTTACCTGGGACAAATAGTCCGACTAGGTAAGTCCAACTTCGACCGAGAGGTCAATCGACGGATTCAACTCGGCTGGGCAGCGTTCGGGAAATTACGACATATCTTTTCGTCAGGTATACCTCAATCTCTAAAAACTAGATTGTACAACCAGTGCGTGTTGCCAGTGATGACTTACGGATCTGAGACGTGGTCCTTCACTGCTGGCCGTATGAGGACGCTTAAGGTCGCTCAGCGAGCTATGGAGAGGGCTATGCTTGGAGTTTCTCTGCGTGATAGACTCAGAAATGAGGATATCCGCAGTAAAACCAGAGTGATCGACATAGCCCAACGGATTAGTAAGCTGAAGTGGCAATGGGCCGGCCATATAGCTCGAAGAACCGATAACCGATGGGGAAGAAAGGTTCTCGAGTGGCAGCCTCGTACCGGTAGGCGTAGTGTAGGGCGACCCCCACTAGATGGAGTGACGACCTGGTAAGACATGCAGGAAGTCGATGGATGCAGGTGGCTCAGGACCGTGCTTTGTGGCATTACTTGGGGGAGGCCTATGTTCAGCAGTGGACTTGTGAAGGGCTGTAATGATGATGATGATACTCGTAATGTACGTGAGAG